TGTGCCAACTTCTCCGTGGTCGTCCTCTCTTTCTTCTTTCAGGAGGGATCCATTCCAGTACTCTTTTAGGCCTATCTGTACTCTGGCATTCCTTTAACATGTCCGAACCAGATTAATTGTTTTCTTTCTGTCTGTCTGATGTCATCATTCATATTTCGCTCCATTTTCATTTCGGTTCTTATTTGTTCGTTCCTAACTCTTTCTAGTTTCGATCTACCGCAGCTTCGTCTCAGATAATCCATTTCTGTCGTCATAAGTTTGGTTTTATTAGCTTTGGTGACTTCCCATACTTCCGAACCGTAAAGTGTAATACTTTGGACTATGCTACCGTAAATGTGTTTTTTGGTTTCTCGTCGAATTGTTTTTTGCCAGAGAAAAGAGTTTAAGGCATGGGTCGCTGCTCTACCCTTGTTTAGTCTTTCCTGATTTTATCTGTGCTATTTCCCTTCTTATTGAAAATGACCCCCAAATATTTGCAGGATTTTACGCCTTTGATTTTGTCGTCTTCCAAGACTAGGTCACATATTTCATCTGTTCCCACTGATAGATATTCACTTTTTGTCATATTCATGTTTAGACCTGCCACCTCATATTCTTGCAGTTTTCTTACCATATAGCTAAGATCGTAGCTATCTTCGGCAATTACTACTCGTCATCCGCAAAGAAAAGTGTATATAGCGTGTTTTCTTCCACCGTTATTCCCATGTTTCTACATTTTTTTTACCCATTTCACTAAGGATCTGTCCAAATAGATTTTAAATAAGGTGGGTGACAGACAGCAGCCTTGTCTTAGTCCCTTTGTTGTTTGAAAAGGAGAGGTGATTTCTTGTCCCATTTTAATTCTTGCAAAGTTTTGTTCGTAGTATTTTTGAGTGGCGTTAATAAGAATTGGGTTTATTTTCAAGTTATCCATTTCTATCCATAGTTGGGAGATCGATGCACTATCATATGCTTTTTCCAGGTCTATTAAAGCTATATGGGTTTCTCTATTTCTCTGCACTCGTTTTTCCATTGCAGTTTTTAATGTGAAAATTGTATCCATAGTGGAGCGTCCGGCCCTAAATCCCGCTGTTCTTCGGGTTGTTTATCTTTAATATCATTTTCTATCAGGTTTTTCAGTACTTGTGAATATAATCAGCCTATAGTAGCAATCACTGCGATTCCTCTATAGTTTTTAGGATCCGTTTTTTGTGCCTTTCTTGTGTATTTGAGAGATATACGATTGTCTCCATTCTTCTGGAACTTCTTCTCCGTTTGAGCATCTTTCGAATAATTTTTTGGATTATTTCAAGCAGTTTTGATGATCCATATCTAATCAACTCTAAATGTATTCCGCCTGGGCCTGGAGATTTTTTTAATGAGTTAAAGATTTTGATTGGCTTTTTTGCCACAAGAACATACATAAATACTCCTGGTATCAGCACACAAGAGGTCTAAAATCGATAATAGATTATTTTATAACAAGGCAACAAACTAAGCCAAGAGTACAGGACGTAAAGGTGAATAGAGGAGCAGAGTGCGGTTCGGACATCTGCCTGATAATAGGAAAAATATATACACCATTCGTAGACACAAATCACACAGACATCAACAAAGAACACAGAGAAAAAATAGAAAGAACGACGTACACCTTAGACAATCTAGATAACGAGAGCACACAATTACTTTACTCCTGGAGACTAACACAAAAACTACAGGAATCACACAGATCAACGACGGATGAATACGGACATATAAAAAACTGCATGAAAGACGCAACGCTAGAAGCCTTAGGGCCACAGGTACGGAGAGTAGATAAACCATATTGGTGGGATAAAGAAGTGGAAGAAAGGATAAAAAGAAAGAAGGAAGTATATCAATAGTTATTACAACAGGGAGGCGAAACAAACAAAACAACAATATAAAAACTTGAATAAAGAAGTTAAACGAGAAGTCTTTAAAAAGAAAAATAGTGCATGGGAACAAAAAATGCCAATACCTAGACAACCATATAGGAGGGACAAAGAACTCTGAAGCCTGGAGAACTATAAAAACGATGAGAACAACGACAAAAAACCAAGTCATAATAAATAGAATACCAGAGAACACATGGATAGAGCATTTTGAGAACTTATTAACAGAGAGAAGAGAAAGGTTTAAACAGACAAATGAACAAGTGCAAGTAGAAGGAAGAATACAACTATCAAAAGAATAAGTGAAAGAAGCAGTTAAGGGAATGAAATTAAGAAAATTAAAATTGTTCGTTATTATAATTACTAATTAAATTTTATCTTTACGACTTTTATCAAATTTTAAACCGCTACTATGTAACTATAAGTTGGGGGTTGTTAAAATGTGGACGTTGCGAAGAATGTTTCGCATACCATGAACAGATAGGGTGACAAAGAAGGAAGTCATAAGAAAGGCAAATACTGAGAGAGAACTATTCAATTTGATCAAGGTACGAAAAATTTAATACATCAGTCATATATTCTGAGATTAAAGAATACGCAATCCCTCAACTAATCATCCAGGGAAAGATTGAAGGTAAGAGAGGAGTAGGTCGCAAACAAATGTCGTGGCTACGGAACATAAAGAACTGAACAGAAGTCTGGTCTTAAGATAATTCGTCAACGCGCTATAGGTACACGGCACTATAAGAAGAAGAATTAAAATTTTTCTTATTGTTTTTTTTTTAACATGAAATTGGTTAAGGTATACCTTAATGAACGTTTATTTTAATACAAAAAAGTATGTTTAAAATAATTTAAAATTGGAATGGATTTAGAAAGTTAAAATTAGAAGAACCTCACCTTTTCAAATGAATATGGGAATAATAAACTTGACGCTTCTATTGATTTTCCCATTTCAATGAATGGTACATTTATTTACATTATTTTTACCTATATCGGCAATAATATTACAAAATTCAGGCCCTACAATAAATTGGTAGTTTTTCCAATTGATCAGCGTTTTCATTTCCCAATATTTTTACATTTTCCTTTGCTCAAGCCTAAGGCACAAATTAAATTGAAATTACAAAATGGAATTTTCATAGATTCTATATTAAATTCTTTTCTTGTGTTGATTTTCTAAGAGTGAAAATAAAATTAGTATTTTAGCGTCATAAATTAAAATTATTCATAATTTTAATTACTAATTATAATTTGTCTCATTTTTTTAATGGAATTGATTAAGGTATAATTTTATGCAATATTACAAATTTAAACACATAATATATATTTAGACCAGAGGTGAAGCCTTTGTAAATGAAAAAAGTGAAAAAAAAAATGATAACCGGATATTATCCTATTGTAAAACGTAACAAAATGTAACAAGAATTTAAGAAAAAATAATTTAAGGGCGATCTGAGGTCGGGAAGTGGAAAATGGGTGAGTTCTTAAGGGTTAAAAAACAGTTTATCATCATTTCCGGCAAAACTACAAGCTCTACTGAAAATAGTTTAGTATCAAAGTAGTAAGTAATAAAAACGACTACAACGATTGTATTTACAAAACCTTAAAATTGTTTTGAAAAATACAAAAAACTTACCTTAGTACGTCACGAATATACTACAAAATATTTTTTATAGTACCTAATTTATCCTTCCTAATTTACCCCTTCAATAGCTGAAATGCAAGAAACAGTTACCAGACCGAAAAACAACAAATCACTTGGGCTAGACAACATTAGCGCAGAATTAATAAATGAAGGCGGATACTCCCTATTGAATGCGATACACGAACTAATAGTGAACATCTGGAATAATAAACAACTGCCACAAGACTGGAATACCGGAGTTATTATCCCAATACATAAAAAGGAAGATCAGCTTTAATGTAAAAACTACCGGACAATAACGCTACTGACTGTAGCATATATAAAATACTGTCAAATATTGTATATATGACCGATTGAGATCATATGTGGAACAAATAGTTGGGGGATATCAATGTGGTTTCTACAGGCAATTCACAACAGATCAGACCTTCGTCTTTAGGCAAATCTTGGAAAAGACTAGCGAATTTAATATAGACACACATCACCATTTCATTGATTTTGAGAGTGCCTATGATAGCATCCAGACACTAGTAGGGAGAAGGTCAAAGGAAAGACCCAAACTTACATACATGGAACAAGTAGAACAAGATCTGAAAATACTTAAGATCACCAACTAGAAAAACAAAGCAAGGATCAGAACAGAATCGCGGAAAATCCTAGAGCAAGCCAGGATTCAGAAAGGGTTGTCGAGATACTGATGATGATGATGATGACTTTTGTGAAAAAAGCAGGTATTTTGACATGAGATATATCGATTAGAAATTAGGCTACTTTTTATGTTTTAAATTAAAATAAGGGAAAAAATAATATCAAAAGATAAAAAAATTAGTTTTTTTAGGACATAAAAAGGTAATGAGTATCTACAAAATTAGGTTAATTTGATTTTTATTTCTGGAAGATCTAAATAAATAACCTAACACTTGGTTATTTTAATTCATTGCATCAATTTTTAGGTTATGTGAAAAGTGCCTGAAAACAAACTTTTTATTATGTACAACTTTGTTATTTAATTTGTTTCCACTGGACTTTTAGTTGTGCTGGAAATCGTAATGAAACTGTCTGTTACCCTTAAAAACTCACCCCCTTACACTTCCCGACCTCAAATCATTGGTGTACTATTTTTAGTTTAATTTTTTTAATTTCGTTTTAATTTTTTTTTCTTCTACAGTTAATTTCATTCTCTAACTATTGTTTTTGGTCTCAAAAATTATTTGCCTTATTTATTAACAACAATCAAAAAATTTTATTTTTATGTATTCTAAACATGTTTATTTAAAACTTCTATTAATATAAAACCCTTATCTTTTATTATAGATACCAACCGCATCAATGAGCTAAGCAAGAGCTTTTCAAAACACACCCCCTAGAACCCAAAAGTAGACGCATGAAACCTGCCAATCTAAAACCACCCCCTTCGGTAACCAAACGCAAGTCTTCGCAATGTGGGTGCCTTACAGAGCATGTATGTCATATTCCCGGCAGATGAAATAGTCTATCTGTCATATGGTCGCCTTATATATGTACCTTCAACCCCTGAACCTGAAAACCAACTACGAACACCCCCTATCAGAACGTCCCTGGAAGACAATCAACTGTTTTACCCTGGTATATCCGAAAATAGTCCTAGTCAGAGAGAATCCATAGCCAGTAGCGAGTCTGATAAAGCTGTTAAATCCTCTAAGTCTAAAACTAAGGAAAAGTCCAAAAACGACGTGTATAGTATTGGTAGTAGGAGTATAGATTTAGAAACTAGAGAGTCCTCGGAAAAGATAAGAATTGACGGAATAAATTACGAACGGAGAAGATCTTCCGAACAACGCGAAAAATCTGAGCAATTAAAGAGCACCTCAGTTAAATCAATTCCAGCACCACCTGCAAATCTCACTAATAAATCCAGTTTTTTTCTTAAAAGATATGCAACCAATCGATCATCTAAAAATATTCCTTCGGAACCCAGCACATCTGGCTATAATAGTTTAGAGAGAAATAAATTTAACGAACCTGAAAATATACAACCTTTACAATCTACTGGAAGTTTAAATAGATTTGGTACATTAAGGAAAGCTGCTTCTTTAAATAAAACAGGAGCAACAACTGTTCAGAACTCAGACACGTGTAGTAGATTAAGCAGCCCTACTAGAGTTCTTAAACCCAAAAGTCAACAAGAAGTGCAGAATATCGCAATTAGAAATTCAGCTACAAAGGAATCTACTTCATTTAATAGATTCAGCACCCCAAATAGATCTTTAAAAACTAAAAGTCCTGTAGAAACCGAAAGTTTTGGATCTCGAACTTTAGAAGCTCAAGAATACAGTTCAACCAAAGGTAAATCTCCAAACAAATTCCTAAAAGCTAGAGAAGCTGAAAATTTAAATAAAACTTTAGAAAGGGGCTCAACTGGTAATAGCAACAAGTCAAGTAAATCCAGCAAAAACAGTTCAAGTTCTTCTAAATCTGTAGGTGCTGTTAAGACGAAACCAAGTGCAGAATCAAAAGAACTACTTTCAAGACCGCGCACTTTATCTGAGTCGGGAAATTCCCCTAAGGCAGAGCCCAAGAAGAAACTAACTAATAGTAATTCCTTCAGGTCTTTTCTAAAACCTTCCGCGTTGACCAAAGAAAAAGTTCCAGAACCTCCAGTGAGACCTGAACGCAAAAAAGACAAGAAAAGTGATAGTAGTGATAGCAGACGACTGTCTTATTCCGATTATTTAGCTTTAAACAGAGAACGTGTGCCTCGTAGTGATATAATTAACACTAGAAGTGATAAAGTACAAGAACTGCGTGTGAAACCCCTACCCGTGAAACGTGAAAAATCCCCAGTGCTTAAGTTCTTTAGGGCTCAATCTTCCAGTCCCAGAAATTTTGGCCGCGATAGGACAGCCTTCGATTTCGACGGGTTCTTCAAACAAGAACCAGCAAGCCCGGGAAAGCTTTCCGTTAATTCTACACCCAATAAAAGTCCACCAATCAAAGGCATTCCTTTAAAAACTTTTGGCTCTGAGACCAACTTGGCAGGTCGTCAATCAGGTGAAGCAGAGTGAAAAGCGTGGTTAGTTTCTTAACAGTATATTAACTAATGAGTTTGTGTTTGGGTTTTATCTACTAACTAACTGCTTTTTAGTAACTTTAGTGTGTTTTGTGCTATTCTAAATGTTTAATTTTTATTTCAAAGGATTATAGCTTTTTATAAAATCCGCTACAAACCTACGTAAAGTATGTAATTTTCGAGCTCTTTGTCCGTTTTTTTTTTGTCAACTGATGATGGAAAAATAAGTACACTAAAGGAATTCACATAAATCATATTTGTATCAATCAAATACTAGCACAAGCTGTAGAGAACAAAAAGCGTATTAATTGGAGAATTTTTAAACCCAGCACCGCGTTATGAAGGGCAATGCTTGGGAGAAAACTTCCAAATGCGTGCAAACCAAATTGTTGGTTATAATTTTGAATGCTTTTAAGGTGTAAAAAACAGTGTTTTTTAATTATTTTTATATTTACACTTAACTGGTGAGGTTCACAATACAGAGTGGCCCAAAAGTCTGGAAACGGCTAATTATCTCGTAAATTACTAAACATAATTATACAAAATTTAAGATACGCCTATTTTGGGATACGGAGATTTCATATTTGGTATTTGCAATGTTGCCAGATTTTCAGTTTCTCTTATATTACTAGTAACTTTGGTTTTTTAAATACATCACCCTGTATATTTACTCATTGTTGGAATTTCCTATTCAATACGAGTTTAACCATATGTAACACTTATGATTTTATGTAGTCTGGAAGGTCTTAAATACATAAAACAGAATCTGGCAACGCCTAAATTGTTTCAATACATTTTTTAATACTAACTATTTTCAATTACATTAAAACGTAACAATTGATAGCTTAGAATATTTTTTAACATAACAGTTACGTTATTAAGTGTTCAAAATTTGCTCCATTTGTAATTTGACAGCACTCTAATCGATGGTAAAATGTGTCTAACACATTTCTCCATGATTGCCTAGAAATTATTCAAGATTAATCGATAATTCATTGCCATTAGCTATGCAAGACTTGCTGGTTAAGTTTTGTAAATTGAATTTTTCAAGTATCTTTAATAAAAATAATATTTAGGATTGAGATCGGGTGAACGTGGAGGCCATTCAATTCTACCTTGTCTACCAATTTATCCGAAATATCTTATCTAAATAACGCCGAACATTTACACCAACTATCTGACGTTAAATTTCTTTCGATAAAAAATGGCCCAATTAAATAAGTACCTAATATAACTGACCATACATTTAATTTTTGTGTTGATATTTCACGCATTCAGTGTGAATTTCACACGAGTTCAGCTATTCAATACGAATTCAACCATATGTTCACTTGATTTTATGTAGTCTGAAAGATCTTAAATACATAAAACAGTGCAAAATATGTAGAGTTTAATAAATTTAAATATTTAAATGGATAATGCTGTGATTTTGACGTTTGTTCACCATTTAAATTATGAACTAAAATTGACAGTAGTTGTGGTTCAAAAAGTTCTGCAATTTAAATTGCTTCTCTAAAATGCCGTTCTCTAAACCGTTCTCCTATTTATAAGACGACGCCGACGTACAAAAAATTGTAAGGCGATTTGAGGAATCTGGAGAAGTAAAAGATAGATACCGATCAGGTTGACCGAAATGAGTTATTAATGACAACAAAACTTTAGATATAAGCAAAGTTTTGTTGAAGATCAACATACATCCCCAGGCAGGGTTGCACAAGTACATGATGTAGGTCATTCTTCAGTCTTACGTTTATTACGTAAAAATAAATTTAAACCATACAAAATTAACTTATTGCAAAAATTAAGTGAAGATGACTTTGGTCGTAGATTAGAGTTTACTGAGGTACTGATGGATAAAATTGAAAATTATTAAAATTTCGTTAACAGAATATGTTTTTCCGATGAAGCAACTTTTACACTGTGTGGAAGTGTAACTCGACACAATTTAAGCTACTGGTGTGACGTAAATTCACACTGAAAACTGAATGCGTGAAAACCATACTCAAAGAGCACAAAAATTAAATGTATGGTCAGATATAGTAGTTACTTATTCAATTGGGTCATTTTTTGTCAAAGAAATTTAACGTCAGATAGTTGGTATAAATGTTCGGCGATATTTAGATGAGATATTTCCTGGACGATAAATTGGTAGACAAGGTAGAATTGAATGGCCTCCACGTTCACCCGATTTCAATCCTAAAGATTATTTTTATTAAGGGATACTTGAAATATTCAGTTTACAAAACTTAACAAGCAAGTCTTGTAGAGCTAAGGCAACGAATTATCAATGAATCTCGAATAATTTCTAGACAATCAAGGAGAAATGTGGTAGATACCTTCTACCATCGATTAGGGTGCTGTCAACTCACAAATTGAGCACATTTTGAACACTTTATAACGTAAATACTATGTTAAAAAATGTTCTAAACTATCAATTGTTACGTTTTAATGTATTTGAAAATAGTTAGTACTAAAAAATTTATTGAAACAATTTAGGCGTTGCCAAACTTCGGTTTTATGTATTTATGACCTTCCAGATTACATAAAATCATAAGTGTTACATATGGTTGAACTCTTATTAAATAGGAGATTCCAATAATGACTGAATATGCAGGGTGATGTATTTGAAAAACCAAAGTTACTAATATTCTAAGAGGAACGGCAAATCTGGCAACATTGTAAATATCAAATATGGAATCTCCGCATCCCAAAATAGGTGTACCTCTTTTGGGCCACTCTGTATATTGCGTACTATGTGAGTTGGGGTCTTAGCGTTCCCCATTTTTAAAATATTGTCTTTCAGCTTATTGTTTTTTAAATTAAGTAATTGTTTACATATTGTGTATTTACTTATTACTTGATTATTACATAATTATTTAACATAATCTGAATAAAACTCTTTATTTTGACAAGGATTAACCCCTAACCGAAAATGTAGCCGTAGAAACCGATTTACCCGAAACATAGTAGTTTTATTGCTTAATGCGAAACATATGGTCTTTTGGGCCCCTACAGGTTAAAACAAGTAAAAATTGAAATAAACCAAAAACAAATGTAGCATTTGAAAAGAAAAGCAAAATATTAAAGGGTTTATTAGGTATAAACGAGCAAAAAAACTTATTCATATATAATATTTACATAAAACAAAATATGTACTATAGAAAACAACATTATTAGGTGTAATTAAGTAAACAAACATATCTATTTCTAGATAAAACAAAAAAATATACTATAGCTACCTACTAATTTTGAATACAGGTAACGCAAACCTTTCTACTACTCTCCAAACCAATAGCATTTGAGCAAAGCACATATTTATAATTTGTCCTTCCTTATTTGATGATGGACAAATGCTACCACAATTTTTTTTTTTGAGGCTTTATCATCTGTAACATTGTCGCCGGTATTCTCGACAGGCACTTCGGGATTAATTCCTCAAAAAATATTTATCTGGTTTCTAAAGTCTCGGACAAGATTTTTTTCAAGTCTTTGCCTTAGATGAAGCTGAATTAGTTCAAAGGCCAATCTTTACAAATTTAAAACGTGGAAGTAATTTATTATCTTTGTAACAAAGATAAAGGATGTGACTATTGAAAGGATGTGACTATTGACTGAACTTATATTATAAGTGTATAAAATACGGCTAAGGACCGACGCCTTGTCCGGCGGTTTGCGCTATAATTCATGTCTAAAACATCAACCCCGATGTTTGTACTGTTATAGTACCTATCGAATTTATTGCTGGTTTTCCTAATTTATTGTCTGTGTTGTGATGCATAGAGGATAATAAAAGAACAGCTCTATTTTTTTTTTCGGTACATACGATATCAAGGTTCTGTCATTGGAGAAACCATAGAGTGTTGTACCAATTTCCCTACTTTTATTAGCCTGGTATTCCACAGAAGCTTCTAGCTTATTTTTTACTATACCCACATACGTGAGGTAGGTTGGACCTATCCGAACTCTAAACCTTCTGTTTACCTAGGTATGACGCAAGAGGACATGTCGTCGCTTCAGTATAGCCTAGGGTGCTCATTTTATAAAGCAGACCTTGATGCCATACCCTATCAAAAGCTTTACTCACGTCAAGGAACGCCTTTGCTGTGTACAACTTTTAATTAAAGCCTTTAGTGATGTGTTCTGTCAGCCCTAAGACCTGTAGTTCACAGGAGTGTTCGGTCCTGAATCCGAACTGAGCTTCTGGAAAAGACACCAAAGCTAGTGATTCTTTATTGAGTCTGTTTAGTTATAACTCTTTCTGCTATTTTTTGCTGGTTTTACTTACATTATAACGTGAGCTTCCTTCCATCTATTCGGGAAACATCTTAGTTTTAGTATACAATTAATAATGGTAGTAATGTATACTATTCCCTTCGTTGGTAGATTCTTAAGTGCTCTGTTAGTTATAGTGTCCGGTCCTGGAGCTTTTGTGGTGTTTGTCATTTTTATTAAATTCTTGACTTCTTCAGGATATGTGTGTACTATTTTCGGTTTTTTTTTTCTTTTTAGCCTTCTGGCTACGTTTTCGACATGCTCGGTGACGTCGATGTCTTCGTATGGGTGTTCGTTGTTCCTACAGGCTTTTTCAAATTCGTCTTAAGAACTTCGGCTTTGTCTTTTTCGGTGTAGACTATACCGTTGTCTCTATATAGTGGTGGAATATGATTTTTATCCTTCCTTAGTTCCTTAGATAGCTTTCAAAAACCGGATTTGTTTGGATTTAACTCTTGGATATAGGAGTCCCAGCATACATTGTTGTGATTTTGCAGTTGCCTTTTTACTTCTCTGTTTAGCTCGTTTGCAATCCTTTATCTTCTTGAGTCCTAGTTCGGTAGGCTCTTCTTCTTTTCCTGTTTTGTTCTCGGATTAGTTCTCTTAATTCTGCACTGATATCCCTCAAGGCGGTTTGTATGCATTAGAGGGTTAAATATATAACACTTTCTAATTTGGACAAGGTTTCGTAGAAGGATAGATGCGTTTA